TATATATTTATGGATATTATTCTTTAAATGATATTGTTTATTTATATATTGTGTAAATAAATTAATGTTGTTTTTTGAAAAGATTTGGAGAAAATAATATTGTTATTTGTGTTTCCTATTCTAAATATTTAGAATTTGTCTCGCCGCATTTTCTTTTTGAAGATAAGCTACTTGTGTTTTACAGAATGTTTCATAACTACCACATAATATTATAATAATTTATTTTGGAATAGAGTAAAAAATTCTAATATGAAAATGTCAGAATAATTTTTAAATTATAATAGGTCAAAAATAATTTTCAAAGATAATAATACGTACAGAGAATTCGTACGAAGCAACGTCATAATTACACATCTTGTAAAGAGATGACCGATGCTCATGTCTGTGTAACAGACTTCCTCGAGCGAATTCTAAGCAATGTTACTGCTTATCTCTGATTGGTAATAATTAAAAACATTAATTATTGTCTCGATATTTCTGTATTAGGATTTTTTATTTTACCTTATTTTCAAAATATGTTAATATATTAAAGAAATATTGTACAGTATAAGTTGTGAGACACCATATGTATGGTTCATTTCCAAAATTTTTTAATTTAAAAGAAATTTTTTGTTTTATTCATATGTAATGAGTGCTGTATGTTTTTTTATTATAGTTAAAGGATGTAGATGTTTCTTCAGACGCCCCCTCCCCCCCTTCCAATATTCTAAGTATATAGAACCTTCTGTATCCAGAGGAAATATATACATATTATATATGCCAGGGATACATGGTATCGGCAAACATATTAATCTAAAAAGGATATTATAGCATGGTCGGTGTACATCGATCATCATTAATAACATTCTCCAAGTTTTTGCGTAGTGTAATCAAATTTATGATTAGAGTATTGAATAAAAATAAGCATGTTTCTATATTGAACATAATTTTTATAACTACATACATTAATATATTTAAACATATATTTAATATATTTAAAAATAAATGATTATGAAAAAGGCGAAATTATAATTATTAATAAGCAAAAAATTATAATTATTAATAAAGCAAAAATGTAATTTGTAATGTAATTTGAAATATTTAATGTAAATAGTTTGTAATAAAGAATACTACTTTGCAAACTTTAATTTATAA